AGAAATCATGTGGTTCCCCTAGCAATTATTTAAACCCAATGAGCCTGATATTAGGGCTGATAGCAGTTAAATGCCAAAAATGTAATGATGTAGAAATCTTCCCTAAACAGAGGTTTACCAGATATGTTGAATTTCCATTAATTAAATTCTATTGAATTATCCAATTCTACAAATCTTATGAGCTGAATATTCTAGGCATTATACTCCTAATACATTTGGAGGATTGAAGAAGATGCTTCTAGGGAAATCAATTTAATGCTGATCATGGAGATCCTATTCATAACATAATAGAAGAGCCATGACCATTAGTACTGTATCAGTTACAGAACCTGCAAAATCTTTTTTAAATATTCAGGCTAGTTTGACTGATGACTAATTGGACAATTTATTCTAGGTGCAGAGCATACCCTACAATAGCATGATGAGTGAAGGCAATAGAAGTCCAGGTAAAAAATGATGACACTGGCACAGAGTGGGAAGTGAGGTATGATGTTGGCTTAACATGGGCACTAGCTAAGGGTCATGCAGCGAACTGGCATTAGTTAGGACACACTGAAAAAAAAACTAGAAGTTCTACATGAACATTGGCCCTTCAAACAAGACAAATTAAGCCAAATAGGGGAAAACACACATTAGTTTTTATTATTATGAAAGTATCAAAACATAAAACTTAATAAAAAAAAACAAACAAACCATCTTTATTGTATTATTAAATGTTCAAATAAAAATAAATACATTCATGCACTTCTCCCATTCAAATATCTCCTAACCACCCCAAAGAACAATATCTGATCTTGTAGGGGTTTGGTTATGCTTTAGAATAATAAGGGAAAATTCCACCATGATCACATCTACAGTCATTATAAACAGGCAAAGTTGCATGGTGGATTTTCTTCTGACATAGAGCTCATCAGAGTACAGTCCTGAAAATAGATTACAGAATATTTTACACCCAGTCTTTCTGTCCATTATTCTCTCAAGCGATGAAAAAAATATACCATTGTACCATCTTGAGGCACATGCTGTCTCCAAACTCAAATGAACTAACGTGCAGCCACAGCTAAAAAAGAAATATCTTTGACAAAGGTAGCAGCGCTTTAGTAAACGTTCTGCATGCTAGATAACAACATTTGTGTAACTTGAAGCAACAGCAGCAGCAGCAGCATGACGCCTGCATCATTTTAAATAGGATATCAAACACGCATAGAAAAATATTTAAGAGAAAAATCTTAATTCTCTCATGAAATGGTCTATAGAACATGATACATAAAACAGCATCAGAAATTACTTGTTTTTTTGGATGGCTTTTGGAAACAGTTGAAATATATGGACAGTGGGTCTGTAAATGCCTTTGGGAGTATTATATTGTGCTAACATTGAAGGTAACTTTTATTATCTTGGGAAGGGCCTTGAAGTCAGAGAGTCTTTGTATAAGTGGAAGCTATCTTCTGCTTACAAAAGATCTACTCCATACATCTATGAGATTCTAGATCATTAATTAAACAAAAAGAAAGGAAATCCTGAGATGCTCTTCCAAAGTAGAAGAAATATACTGTAATTGTGAAAACTGGGATTGGATGACAAGAAAATTCATCAAAGCAAATATATCAACTCAACTCCCACCCAAACAAGAAAAAGAGCAAAGGAGCTTACAAGATTGGCTGACATATATGCAAATTTACATGCAGAAGTACACATTTGGAACCCATTCCTAGCATGTAAGTAATAATACAGTGCATCTCACTGGAATGGGGAGGATTTGAACTAATTTCTTCATGTAGTAGCTTGGTCTGCTGCTTGAGGATTAATTGGGCATGGATAATTTCCAGGTCTCTTTCCTCCTTTTTTAAAATGACTCTCTGACTCTCTCTGTTCTGGCCATGTTTCTCAACTTTCATGTTAAGGATAACTTTCACTAAAGCAAGGAACGTGTTACCCTAATGACGGAGCCTATTGGGATATTCTTCTGTGCCCTTTGAAGCATAGGCTATATATTTTCATTTTTGGATCCAGTTCACAGCATCTATCTTGAATGAATGCTTTCAGAGACAACAGTTACAAAAGGTTATATGCTGTATAATCATATATAATTGCAGAGGTCCATAGAATCATTGTTAAATAAACCCAATTTACTCAGCTTCTAGAAATAAGCAGTTATATAATATCTCTCCATATAAAGTTTAGTCAATGAATTGATATATAAAGGCCACTGGAATATATTGTCAAATATGGTGATAAAAAAACCTTCAGAAAAAGTAATTTTGGATGCTGGAAGAAAAAATATTTCTCTACAGAGACAGAATTTGGCCCATTTCCTTGTATTTTGGTTACATGAAATATATATATATATATTTGGAACACAGTAATGTAATGGACATAACAATATATCCAGATTATTGAAAGCATATCAAATACTTCTGTTGCAGAATGTAAAAATTAGTGTGAGATAAGAAATAAGCTAGTCAAGACCAAGAGTCTACATTTTGATGTTTCTGTTTGAGGATTGTACATGCATATGAATTTTAACAGAAGTAATGCTTGGACAAAGTATTCTTTTTGCAAGCTATTTAGTCTACTGCTTCAATTCTGTCATTAAATAAAATAGATCTCAAAGACTAAAACATGTAGGAATTATGTAATATTTCCCTAAAAGAGTTGAGCAATTTTTTTTTAAAGTACAGTAGAATCTCATGACCATAATTCGTTCCATAACCTTGGTTGCAAACCAATTTGGTTGTGACCCAAACCTAATTTTGGAAATTTGGTGCTTACAAAAAAAATGGCAAGGAAGGGGAAATCGGCCATGGGGGAAAAAATTGTGAATTTTTTGGTCGTGGTCAGAAGCGTTCGTGACCAGAGGTTCTACTGTATGTGCCATTTTTTAAAATCAATTTTTTTCCAGAGCAAAAATTTCAGAATTAAAAACTTGAGTTCTCCAATTTAAATTTTATAACATATTTCAGAAAACATTTGTTCATTTTTGTAATTTTGTTTTTGTATTATTTTGAAATTTGTAAAGAATATAGGTTTTGAAAACAAACCCTTCAATTTTCCAGAATTTGAGATCTAAAATGATATTCAACATTGTACAGACTTCCCAATTCAATTTTATTCTTTATTATAAATATTAATTGTTAAAATCTGAGACACAATATTCTTGTTCTGTTTAGGAATATGCAGAGATCCTCACTGAAAAACCTGGGAACTAAGGCTGGCCTTTTGAACAAGGCAAATGGTATCCGGAATTAATCCACCCTTCCCATCACTTCTGCATAACAATGATTGGCACTGTTCAAATTAGTCATGTGTAGACAATTGAAGGATTGCACTTGGGATTTTATCCCAGTCAGGACTTCAATCAGAAGGTTCATCTGTGAAGAAATCTATTGGGAATGAGGGAGGAACATAGCATCTGTTTCCTATGCAAGAGGTCCAGATTTAACCTTCTGCATTTCAGTTTAACCAAGAGTGTGAAGGAGCAAAAGTGGGAACATTCTCTTCCTCAGTCCTTTGTTGCTATAATCCATCAGAACAGAGTCTCCCACATCAAAATTACAGCTTCATAACATTTCACCATACGTTTCACTCTAAGCCAGTGTTTCTCAACCTTGACAGTTTTAAGAAAGTTGGACTTCAACTTTTGGGAGTTGAAGTCTACCCATCGTAACATTGCCAAGATTGAGAAACACTGCTCTAAACCAGTAATTCCTCCATCTGAAAACAGTAAGAATAATACAATCATAGCACCTCCCAGGGATAACAGAACCTTAGAAATAATGCATTGGTCATCCAAAAGAAATACTCCCATAACTCCCATAACACCTAGTGTGCATTGTCTCTTGATCATGCTGGTTGGGAATTTGGAGAATTTAGCTGTTACATATCTAGAAGAATGACCTACAGAAGAGCACTTTAAGAAGTTTAAGCTAAAAGTTAACATTGCCAGTTAAACAGACTATTATCTTTGTTGTTTAACATTTACTTTTGATTATATGGAAGGCCAATGCTGGTTTTAAGATATGCTCCCATAATTCTAAGAAGATCCAGATGTCCATATATCAGCCCAACATGGATTGAGACTCAGCAGCTGGCTTAAATACAATTAGGAAGCCTCCAGTACTAGCTTCTACTACTTTACAGAATGATGAAAGAAGTATCTCCTGGGCTTACTTTGAAGTTCTTAAGAAGTAGTCAAGGTTATTGGACTACTTCCTCACCAGTCTTCAAAGGGATACTGTCAGTAAAATATCCCTTTAAAGTGACATTCCCCTGACCCATTTCTAAAAGCAAAAGGGCCATGTTACATCATTTTATTGATTTTGACTATTTTCTCTGACAGGTTCACTAGATGAAAGACGTTTCTGTGCATGTACAAGCTTCTTCTGGTGCTGCCAGGAGCTGACTCGAAGTCTCTTCTGACTCATGGATCTGCCTGGCAAGGATTCAAGGCAACCCCCAAGTCCAGGCTCACCAAGAAGAATTGCCTCACCTTGCCTCATGAAAAGAATAGCATTGCTTTTGTGATGTGAAGCATTCCATCAAAGCAAATCCAAACCATTGAGCCCACCTTTACTGTACTTTTTCATCCCTATTCCTACCTGAGCCATAATCTTCATCGGTGGACAATGTTTTCACTTAATCAATGTCTACATATAAATCAATATTTGTAAATTGCCAGCAATTACATTCTCTGGTTCTGAAAAAGATTGTGCCAAGGAAACATTTGTAAGATGAAGATCAAGGACAAGATAAATCACAAGTCAGGAAGGCATACAATTTTACATCTCTAGTGATTATACCATGGTCGTATAACAGTCTTTTGAATACTGCATGTGACTCATTAATTGAGTTTTGAAAGGGACATTCCCCCTTCTTAAAGTAAGCCAAGAGTGGTAATGCTTCAGTTTGATATATTGAGTCTTAATTTGGTGAGCAATTCTGCAATACACTGAAGCTTGTCACATTGTCCCACAATCACCTCTAAGTTGAGTCATCAAAAATCCACAGAAGGGCTTTTATGAAAACATTTTTTAACAAAGTGCAGTGCCCAAGTTAAATCTTGTATTAGTTGTAGAAACAGCAATTCCCATTATATTGCAATGCCTTTTGGAACTGAAAACAGCGTTCTGGAAGTTGCTAACCTCTTTTCTTTGAAAGTATAAAACAAAACAAACAAAACACAACCCAGTTCACCTACATTCCCTATCTAGCGAGTGGAATCTTTTCAGCTTGGCAGTTCATCAGATGTGCATCATAGAGAACCCTTCGGCCCTACCAGAAACATTGCAAGTGCATGCCAGCAGGAGTTTAACAAGTCTAGAGTCATATTGCTTCTAGGATAGCAAGTATGGCAGCTGGTTAGACCTGGAGCAAAGGCTGTGGCTCTCTTCCACCCAACGGAGTCTTTGCTAGGGAAAGCTGAAGCTAAGTTACCATAGTCCTTTCTTCTCAGCAGAATCATGTCAGATCCATCTTCTCTTGAGTCAATGGAGGCCACAAATGCTGAAATTTCTTCTCCGTGGCTTCTGATGTTTTAATGGCTAAAGAACGTTGAGCACTGTCTCATTATTGTTTAGCCTTGCAGGGTTCCCTCTTTGATCTGCTGAATGAAAAGGTTCCTTTCGTCCTCTGGGGTCCTACCATTCTGGGCACGGACAATACAGGTGGGCCTATGTAGGTTGAGCATGTAGATCAAGTGCTGCTTCTCATTTTTCAACTCTTCAATCTGAGCTTTCAGTTCTGCATTGATTGTTTCCAGTTTTTCTGATTCCTGGCAACAAAAGAAAGGTGTAAACATAGAAGTGATTGTTTTAAAAATACAAGGGAAAAACAAAAAAATATGTAGCTTAGGACTCATTCACATGATAATATGTACAGGGAAATATGGAAACCCATTTTCTGTCAAGGTTACATAGATGATTATGATGGCTTCTTCTTTGTATCTTTTTCCTTGTATATCAGCTTTAATCTTTTTATCTCTATGCAGAATTCTGCAGCTAAAATTATTCACTTTCCCCATGTTCAGACTATCCAGTACATTTTTCATACACTTTAAATGCCTCCTCATTCCTTTCAATACTCCTTTTCAAGCTATTATCTTCCTATCCACAATATATCTTTTACTTCCAATTTTAAATTTCCCACAAGAATCTTCTGTTTCTTGAAGTTGCAGCTCCAACTCAACCGAACAAATTCCTGTCTTGTGGTACAATGGTTCAAGGAAGTGGAGGAGGTTGGAATGGACCTTGGGGGTACCCTAGTCCAACCCTTTGATCAGTTATAGTTCAGTCACTATATCTCAACCTATAGGGTAGGCAGTCACTATATCTCAACTTGTAGGATAGGTGAGCCAGGAACCTGTAGGGTAGGTGAGCCGGGAAAACAACTAAGGGAGGCAATCTAAAGGAGAAGGAAGATATAAATTTAATGAATAGATATATTTTCTATTATTATCACTTGCTACCTCTATTTTCTGCAATCTAATGCTCTCTATTAATTTTTGAGATAGCTGGGGAATATAAGAGATGCAGTCCAACACAACCAGAGGAAGGAAGGAAGGAAGGAAGGAAGGAAGGAAGGAAGGAAGGAAGGAAGGAAGGAAGGAAGGAAGGAAGGATCCCATTTTAAAGATCAGTTACTTGGGAGAAAAAAAATACAGTTTTCTGCTACTGTGTTTAATTGTAAGTATGGTGAGGGTTTGTTTGATCCTTTTAAATATAATGAAAATTGTTTAAATTTTAAAATTTAAACAATTATTATTTGGGTTGGAAACCTTAATTAATTAAGCACTTCTAAAGTACTTCTAAAACTTTAGTGTAAGATTACATTTTCTCTCCAGATTGATGAGCCTGAATTATTTCACCTTTAATAAGTTAACCAATGTTATAATTAATCAGCAATTCACAGTGAAAATCTTCACAGTTATTTTATCCATGAAATTTTAAGGACCTTTTCACCGTACATAGATGTGTTTATATTTTGCAGATATTAATTAGAAAGCATCGGTTAACTTACTTTCTGCAGGCATTCCGTTTTTTCCTTCTTTTTGTTTCGACATTTTGCTGCTGCAATCTTATTTCTTTCTCTCCGACGTTTTTTCCTTTCATCTTCTTGGGGTGCGCACTAACAGAATCCAAAGAGATAAGGGTTGGATCAGTCAAAAAGGGGGCAGGGATGTGCAAAAGAGAAACTCTTTATGTTTCCTACAGATGTTATAATAGTAGTAAGTCTGATTTGTTCCTTGCCAACCAAATGACTAACTGGTTAGTTTGGCCCTTTAACCTTGTATGAAACAGGATAGAAGTTATCTTGCATGTTTAGAAGATCATGGGAACATAAAAGATTGAGGTACAATAAGTCAGAAAACCTCTGGGAAGGTTGATGTACGGTAAATCAGAAAACCTTGAAGAAGCTTCCCTACAGTTTCCAAATAACAGAAAATATACTTGGATTTATCTGATCTACTAAAGAGGGTAGTTTCATTCTGAATTTTTTTCTCTAAGCAGGTTTAAGTCCTAATAAGGCTTATCTTCAGAAACCATACTCTGCCAGAGCACAACCTTATATCCTAGAATACTAAAAACGATGCCTCTGAGCAGGATGGAATGTCTTTTCTTATCATAGAGAAAAAGAGTAGGAAGTGAGTATTATCAATTCTCCATTAAAATCTCATGTGGATATATTTTTCATTGCCTTTAAAAAAAAAAAAAGATGCCAGGGAATGAAGAATTTTTATGTGCAAAATGAATTACATTGTGATATAGTCCTTTCTGAAAAGCATGTGATCCAAGAATGTATGAAGTGAATTATATTGCATAACTATAAAACCAGTAACAGTTACAGGACCTTTCATTTTCCTGATGCCTTCCAGATTCAGACATTTCCAACATTGCTTGTATTTCATGAAGGCATTCCCATTCGAGCACATGAAGATCATTAATGCAAATGCCAAAGGGACTAACCAATTTGTCACAACAGGTGGCAGCACCTATCCAACTTTGTCTGATCTTGAAAGCTAAGCAGGCATAGGTGTCCAGGAAGGCAGCAAATCAGTGGTGGGTTGCCCCCAGTTTGGACCGGTTTGCAAGAACCGGTAGTAAAACCGGCAGGAGGCTCCGCCCACCAACCTGGACGTCATCATAGGTGATCTGCGCATGCGCAGAAGCACGTGCACACACACTTCCGATGCGAACCGGTAGTAAAGGTAAGTAGAACTCACCACTGCAGCAAATGTCAAAATTTATTATGAGACAAACTTTGCACCTTATGTTCTAGTGTGTGGCTTCACTTCTTTATCATTTTGATGTCATCATGGTTAGATAGGGTAAATACATAAGCAGATTTGGATCGCATTAGTTATTGTATGGAAAATAATTAGGGAACCCCAAACTGTGTATTAGACTGGGAAATCTATCTATCTGGCTGGCTGCCTGGCTGTCCATCCATCATCCATCTATCTATCTATCTATCTTTCTATCTATCTATCTATCTATCTATCTATCTATCTATCTATCTACCTACCTACCTACCTACCTACCTATCTATCTTGTCTTCTGGAAGAAGGCAGTAGCACACTATTAATAGTACTATTGTACTTTCATCTAATCAAGGAGAGTCAATTTTGATTCAACAGAAAGTCACTGTCACTAATAACTTTATAATAATAAACATTCTGATTATGTAATGATGTAATGGATGGAAAATCTAATGGAATTAGCAGAGACGGCTAAATTAAATGCTCTAATCCAGGGGTGTTAAACTGGTGGCCCTCAGGCCGGATGTGTCACGTACAGGCTACACCCACCCCAGCTCCGCACCATTATGTGATGGCAACATGACACGGCAAGATTGACACCCGTATTCTAATCAAAGAAAAAAACACATCCAACTTTGTTTCTACTTGGAAATCGCTTCTGGATTTTATGTTGAAATGGGGTGGGGGGAATCAAACTTTGATTTTGGGTTTTGCTGATTAGATAGGTTTGTTGTTATAGATATGGCTAATATATATTAAATATGTAAAAAATAAAAAGTTGAGGCGGTAATATTTTATTCCACTACCATAAAAAGAGTCGGAAGTCAGTGCTTTTCTTTTCTTTCTTTTTCCCCTTTACACTTTTTCCTCCTTTCCCTTCCCCATTTTCCAACTATTTTCATTTGTATTTTATATTGTGATAAGTTTAATTACATTATTATTACAATGATAATGATCATAATAAATAATAATACAGAGGGAAGACATTTTCTGTTTTTAGAAAGCATATTAGAATTAGTGGAACATAGCTTAAAAATAAAAATAAAGTACCTCTCTTTTTAAAATAGATGTTTCATCAGATCTATCAGAAACCATGACCGTATCCAAGGTAGAGGGCATCCTCTGAGAAAGGCACCTATTCTGGATGGCAAATTTTAATTCCTCTTTCACCAATGGGGTCAGATTTGTGAAATCTTCAAAGCCCAGGGAAACTGGAGGAGACAAGCATGGAATAATTGCAGAAGCACTGACTTCTGAAGCAGACACCTGGCCCAGGTTTTGGAGCATCATTTTGCTGCATGGAAACAAGAGAGAGAGAAGAATTAATTTTTCCAACATTTGATGAAGCAAAAAAATAAATAAATATTGGCTAAAGCATGGTTAATTCAGTTAATACAGAATTCAGAAAACCAATCACTGAATAATGAGATTCTGGCTCATAACTGGATATTGATAGAACGATTATAAATTTACTTGCAGAACAGCTTCTATTCATTTATTGTATTTATATAGCTACCCATCTCAGTCTTGTGAGACTGAGCAGCTTATGCTCAATGCAAAACCTAAAAAAACCCTAATAAAACCATATTATAATAAAGCTGAGACTCATTCGTTCATGTTGGGCTCAACTAATAACCTTGCCCCAGTGCTAAGTGTAAAACCAGCTCTTCAAATCTTTCTAGAGGCCTAACATGGTTGGGGCTGCCTAGATCTCAGAGGGATGCTATACCACAAGGCAGCCACTACCACCCTCATCATTATCACCACCACACAGGTAGTCTTCAACTTATGACAGTTCTATTAGTGACCATATATCGGCACTGAAAAAAGTGACTTATGATCATTTTTCACACTTACAACCATTGCAGCAGCTGCCCCGTGGTCATGTGATCAAAATTTAGAGGCTTGGCAATTGGTTCATCATTATTACAGTTGCCGTGTCTTGGAGTCATGTGATCACCTTTTGCGACCTTTTGTTGAGCAAAATCAATGAGGAAGCCAGATTCATTTAACACTCATGTTACTAACTTAATAACTGCTGTGATTCACTTAACAGATTCACTTACAACCAAGAAAGGTTGTAAAATGGAGGGGGGGGAAATCACTTAATGTCTCGCTTAGCAACAGACATTTTGGGTTCAATTGTGATTGTAAGTCAGGGCTAAATGTATTTAATTCAACTAGAAATTGAGGGCATATTTCACAAAACCATCAAGGTAGCAATCTTATTAGATGAAAATACTGAGTATAAATAACTTTTAATAATAATACAGGTTTAGGCATGGGTGAAAAATTCGCCGCATCATGTTGCCATCACATGATGTTTTTCTCATTCCCAGAGCTGGGGTGGGCATGGCCTATACGTGACACATCCGGCCTGCAGGCAGCCAGTTTGACACCCCTGGGTTAAGGAATATTGTGCATTGAAAAATGTAAGTGAATGAGTACTTGTGCAATAATTCAAACAACTGATTTCTAATTAATATTCCTGTCTCCTGTTTAGGTAGTTAGAATCTGCACATGAAATTATCTTATACCTATGTTGTCTATGAATTTTAAATACACTAAATCACTGCAGTGAATAGTCAAGTAGTTGGAGTGAGGTGTTTTTTAAAAAAACAATGTATGCCTTTCACACATAAAATCAACCATCTTCCTTACTCTTTATTGGAAAAAATATATTTGGGACATATAAGGACAGAATTATTTATTTGTCTCCTTTAGTAGGAAAGGAAATCTACTTTGCATATAACTACCGTATAATCACAGCAATATTACAATTCACAATAGATAAACAATAGATAAATTATTGCCTTTAGAATTTATATACACAAGCAAATCCAATAAGCTGTTAAATAGAATTTAATTTAAGCATTATCTTTTGCAATTTCAGGTAATAGTTAGAGTTTGACAAGTCCAATTATGAATAAACATACAGTATTGATTGCTTTATTTAAAGTGGCATGTTAAAGATCAAATTCAAATCAAGTCCAAATTTATTTATGAAATAAAATAAAGACTTGCAGTCTTTATTTACTTCTTTAATGCTTATGTCCACACAATTTTAGACCTTCAAAATAGATACCAGTAATTAACACAGAAAGCATCTCCACATACAATTAAATATGTATCTCAACATGGACACATGCATTGCTACTTGAAAAAGACATGTAAGCATTTGACAATATAGAGAGACTGTCTATATTAATCTTTGCACCACTGTATTTTCTGTGTAACAATATAATAGTGTATAGACCTAACTTCAAACAAGAAAAGTAGAAAACCCAATGGTTTCAGACCTCTTGATCATCAGGGGAATGATTTCCTGGAATTGTAATTTACATAGATCTTGAGAAAAATATGTAATTATGCTAAGAAATCCCCTAAACCATGAGTCACAGCTCAAAATCCTGATACTCCTTAATGGTTTCAAGAGACACAAAATACCAAGCCAACAAAGGTTTACAATGCTCGGGTTTATTATTTAAACTTTCAACTCAGATGGCAATAATAAGCTGCTCCTAGCATTAGTCACTAGTTGTTTAAAAAAAAAAACATGCATCTTTCATTTATCATAAAGAGTATATAATTCTGAATGGGATATACAGAAAAGGCATATTTGTTTTAGCTTTGTAGGGATAGGAACCTGTCTTATAAAATTTTAAAAAAACCTGATGCTGACAACAAGATTTATTTATTTACTTTCCTATAAAGAATGGGTAACTTTATGCAGGGATGCATGCACACATGCAGGTCTCACAATTAACTGTGGTTTATAGGTATCTCATAAGAATGTCATTTCCTGATGTTTCATTCCTTATATTGCCATAACTGTATTGTTGGCTTCATCACTACTTCTTGGGAATTTGGGGACTAGCCAGGGTCTCATTACATCAATCTTGTGGTAGAGAAACAGCTGAGAATTCTGGCAATACAACAGCACTTTCGAGAGAATTACTACAACTTCAAGGCTATAGTAATGCCATCCCAACAACCACACTGCATTTGATCACATTCTCAGCTGTGTTTCAGATGGTTGGTTGAAGTCACTGATCTTTCCTCACTCTAGGTAACCCAAACTAGGTTCTCACATCTCAAATTTGGTAAATTTGTTTTTAATCGTGAGGCCAAATTTATATATATCTTTTTAATTGTATTTTAATGTTTGTAGTTTATGTTTTTATTTGGCTGTTCACCGTCCTGAGTCCTCAGGGAGAAGGGTGGTATACAAATTTAAAAATAAATAAATAAATAAAATAAATAAAGCACCTCCTGAATCAGGGAAGTTTTCCAAGATATATTGAGTCCTGCATTTTGACACTGGCCTTTTTGTATGTCTACTACAACTCCAGCTTTCTCATGGATGGTGGAAAGAAAGGCGTTTGATGTACATTACACCCCAGTGATGGCATTAGGGGTAACATGATAGCAGTATTACAATATTTAAGGGGCTGCAACAGAAAAGAGGGGGGTCAACCTATTCCTCAAAGCACCTGAAGGCAGGTCAAAGAGCAATGGATAGAAACTAATCAAGGAGAGAAGCTATCTAGAACTAATTTCCTGACAGTGGAGTTAATCAGTGGAATGACTTGCCTTCATAAATTGTGGGTCTCCATCACTGGAGGTTTTCAGGAAGAGACCAGACAGACATTTGTCCAGAATAGTATAGAGTCTCCTGCTTGAGCAGGAATTTTGATTAGAAGATCTCCAAGGTCTCTCTCAACTCTGTTATTTGGTATTTTGTATGGATAACAGAGCTGAATGTGCAGTAAGGATTCATTCTGGTTCAGAAGAGGGGAATGGCATGCCTCTACAATCAACATGGTGAGAACATTGTGTTAAGGAATCTAAGTGAATGGACAATCATTTGTCTGAAATGGTATAGGGTTTCCAATTTGAGCAGTGGGTGGACTAGAAGACCACTAAGACCTCCCTTCTAATTCTGTTATTCTGAGATAATTATACTATTCAATAATGTTTATACTGAATAAGCAAGAACTGGAGTTTCTTAATTCTGTTTCCAACCTTCATTTTGAACCATCTGCCAAGTTTTCTTTGGTTTAGATGTCTTCATTGGTACTACCTTTACTTAAACAACTGTTACATATAGTACACTCACTCTGTAGAACTATCCAAACCAATACAGAGCCTTATACCGTAACTGTCAAAGAAGTTATAGAAACAAACAGTACATTTTATTACACCAGGAATTTGGATATTTCCTATGACTGTTGCAAGGTGGTTGCAATCACACAAATGCATTGAATAATTATTTACATCCATGCCATAGTTTTACTTCCAAATTATTGTAAGTATATCTGATATGCCAAACCTATGCTTTGAAATGTTAAAAGGCCGCAATATCCTTGTCAATTGCCTCCCCCCCCTTTAAACAAGATTGGGGAAGGAAGCACATAACAATTAGCATTTAAAGTAAAATTTTAATGGACAAGTCATTAGGGAATTTAGGCCACCTTCCTATTTTGATCAGGCCAGGGTTGATGGAAACTGTAGACCAACACATATAAAGGAGTTCAGATTAAGGAAGCCTAAATGATTCAAGGATTGTTAACTCTCTATATCAAAAGGTCTTCACTTTATCTTCATTACTTTATGTCTTCTAACAAAAGAAATGAAATCAGTTTGGGAATTAGGCATATCAAAGGGCCTACTCTGTCACATCACTGCTTTAGATTAAACCACATCAAAATTTTTATTTATTTATTTATTTATTTATAGTGTCGTTAAATTATTATTTAATGATTTATTCAAATTTATAGGCTGCCTTATCAATTGTGACCCAGCCCACACAATAGGGAAACATCCAGAAAAACCAATACAATCCTACAGATAAAACAAACAACAAGGGGGGGGGGTTGGGGTTGGGGAGGATGTCATTCCAGGGGTTAGGTGCTATGGGGAAGGGGTAAATAGGGAATGTTTATTTTTGCTGTTTTCTCTCCTATAGCAATAGAAAATCCTTTGTCTCTCATTTCTTTCAGCCTGAGTCAATTAACTCACGCTTTTAACAGTGTTCAACAAAGACACGCTTGAGTTTTCTCGAAGGCCAATCAAACAAGACTAGCACGTGGACATTCTGATGCAAAAGTTATTACGTTTCTGAAACTGTGTTCGGGAGTTACAGTTAAGTAAATTTTATATACATGAAAACAACATCCCTTTCCAAACATATACTATGGAGCCAACATGATGTAACCATGTGCAAGAAAGAGGCAGCACAAGTTCTGGGTAAGGTGCAATGTTTGCAGAAGGACACAAATATTAAGGAAAAGG